GTAAAAGCCGGCAGAAATCAGCAGAGGGTTTCCAAGTTGATGAGCCGGATTCATTTCGGTTGCGTGCCAAAGTCAACGGAAGGTGCGAATTGGGGTGTCACATCTGGATTGTTGGCTCGCGTGGGGGGGGGGGTGTTCAGGCAGGAAGCAATCCGAAACTTACAGTTGACATGAAGGACATCATTAGCAGGAGCTCGCTCCTTGCCCTAACAGGCAGCTGTCATTTGGCTCGGAAATTACGCATATCCTTTGAGAAATTGTTGCGGAAAACGAAATAATGAACTCAAAGTCCCAGTTGCAAAGTTTGCCCAACTGAGCGAAGCTGACAAACTATGGCCAACACTTGAGGATTGTGAGTTGTGTACACCGGAATGGTAGACTTTGCACCAAGTATGTGAGTGTATCCTGGATGGGAAAGGAATGTCTCGGGATTAGCCGGACCCATGTCGGTTAGACGCAAGCAGGCTTTGGCTAATGTCATCAAATGATATGTCACTCAATCAAGGGAAAGCCCAGGGAAACCCGATAGCTCCCCACATCCTTGCTTTTGATAGGCGAGGAAGGACGACTCGGCGATATAAGCTTATGCAAAATTAAATCATTAAAATGCAAGACAGATGAAATTTTCTTAAACTGTTTTGCGCACGAGTTGATGCCAAGTCACACATGCCAATGCAAACACACACAAACACGCCCCATGTCCTTAAGCTCATTCAACACACACGCACACTCGTGGCCCGCGTGCTTGTGCCTAAGTAGATATTTCATCGGATTTTCGCAGCAGCTGAGATAAAAAAAGAAAGTAGAAACAGCAAGCAGGAGAAAAAACATTCGAGGCAGCAAAAAAATTTAAAACGCTTTGGCGTTGCGGGCTGGGACGTTAAAAGAGCTGGGATAAGTTCCCTTTGTTAATGGCTGGGGTCATGTTTTGACCTGGCTGACATAAAAGCAGCAGGCAGGAATAACAAAAACATCGCCAGTCACATGTGTAAACGCGTGAGACATTAAAATTAAAGCTAGCAAAGGCGTATGCAAATTGTGGTTTAAATGCTGAGAGCGAAGAAATCTGTACACTCTTAAAAGTGGTGCGTATATTTCTTAATTATGCAGATAAAAGTTCTAGTTTCAAAATTATTTTGTACTTTAACAATGAATTTATGTTGGTAGTAGCGTTATTTTTTGTTATCGCTCAATAGAAAGCTACCAATCTGGACTTTTACAATTTGTTTATATCTGTAAATTACTGATGCACTTAAAGTAGGTAACAAAGTAAGAATTTTAAAGCTTAAGACCCATTTAAATATTTAAAGTTATCTTATTTAATTCTTTATTGGAAAACTAATCCTTTTACCAAAGAAAAACCTTTAACTAAATATTAAAATAATTTCTGGAAGTACGATTTATTTCCTTTGAAAAACAACTTTAGATATAAATAGTTAATGGTGGGATTTGATGATATTAATAAAGAAATATCAAGGAAAAGCCATTTTCCTGAATTTTTTCTGCGGCAAGCGTATGCTAAATGTCTGTTTTCTGTTCAACTTGTAAAGCCTACGCTCAGATCACGGATATTCCCATCACAACCCAGCTGGGAACAAGTGAGTGTACGTGTTCCATCCAAAAGCCTAGACATCGCAAAGCCACGACTAGGCAGTTGAGAAATTAAATTCTAGTTACGTTCTTGGAATTTAAAAATAGCAAACAATCGTCGGACGGGATGGGTTCCGGGTATCGGGTCGGTTGTGGGCTGAAGGATGCTTGGATGCGGTTCTTGAACGTGTTCAAATTGCCGAAACGCGTCGAAATTATGTTAATGTTGTATGTACGTGGCCCGAAGGCGGCCAACAAATTGAATATGTATTTAAGCTTTGAGCCGGGTAGGAGTCGGTTATCGGGAACACGTCATTGTTTAATCTATAATTTGGCATCTATATCTTCATTGTGCGGTAGCTGGAAAAAAAGTGGGAAAAAAGTGAATTTCAACAATTTGGCATCTCATTGTTTGCCTTTGTCATTCTTACATTTTTCAAGTCTCCGCTGATGTTTGATGTATGTATATACTAGAGGGAAAGGCTCGACAGCTTAACAATTCCTGTTCATCTTCTCTGTCACTTTTAATGAGTTTTTGCAAGAATTTTTTAGCCCTCCGCATTCCGTCTGTAACTTGTTGGCAACAATGTCAGCGAAATTGTCGCCGCTTCTGATAATCAGGCGAACGCCTTTCAAAGTGGGCGAGGGCCAGGGCGAGGGCGTGGAAATGACGCATTGTCACGATGATTATAATTTCCATTAAGGCAATTTTGTAGGGCTGCCGTTGGAGTGAGCTTAGCAAGTCATATTGAACTAATTTGCATTACAAGGCGAGAAGCAGAAAGTGCGGAAAGTCAAGTTCAACGAAGAGGAAGAATTATGGAATCAGTCATAAATTTGCAATTTCATTTCAAGTCTTATTATCACGACACTGTAGCCGATTAATCAGATATAAAAACTTTACATTTGATATTTATGAATTTAAAGTGTTTTATAGATTCACTTGGGCACTTCCATTGTTGACAAATCGCACCGCAAACTTTTCAACACTTTCGAAAAGGCGGTCACGGATGAATCAATACAAAAGCAGGAAAGCATCCTGAGGCTCAAGACACCACGTCACGCATACGCCATGTGGCCGCACATACAACCCCAGCTGGCTGGCAAACGAGCGAGTATGTAAATGATTTGTCTGTCCAAAAAGTTTTGAGGCTTCGGCAAAACAACAACCGAAAAATTTGGCAAACGAACTAGCTGAAACTATGAAATATGCGAAGCATGTGCCGACAATTTGGCCATAACCTTTGACAAGCCATCAGAATGGATTAGGGGGGCATGGCCAAGGTAGGGCTAAGTTCCGATGGGGACTTTTGTTTTCAATTGCCAGGAGACAGGAATGCGAGAAACGAGACGTTGATGGAAGGCAAAACCACTCACAAATTAAAAACGAGATGTGATAAATAGCAGAAAGAGAGTTTGGGTTTGACATGTTCATGCCAAAAGTGCGCAGTCACTTTAAGTGGCTAATCATTCTGAGTTTCATGATGAACTTTTCCCAACATTCAAAGTTGGAAACGCGTGGGCAGGCTAAGGGTGAATCAGGGTGGATTGGATAGTTATAACATTGCTTTTTATTGCTGCTAGCTGCTGCGGCTGTATTTTAATTAAAATTAATGCCCCATAAGCTTTAAATTAATGCCACTTCTTCGTCCTAGAGCCGCTTGCAAAGCAACCATAAAAGAAGCATTACTGCATACGTGTGGGTGGTCTTTGGTGGGCATGTGGCTATGATGCTATAAGGCTATAACTGCCAGACGTGGACAGGGCGGTACCCATATAGTCGGGACTAATGTGGCCTTGTCGCCTCCTCTTCCATCCGCTTATTGCGCTCATTCGCATGGCATAAATAAGGGCTTAAGGCCGGATCCACGCATTTAGTTGTCGGGATTGTCGCTAACAAAAGCCCGGTTGAATCTATCCCCATATTTGCGGAAGTGGATACAACATTACAGTTTGTTAAGGCGACCAATTGTTTAAGTTTATTGCATTTTATAAGCGGGTAAATATTTAGACTGACTGACCTAGTTCCTAAAAGCACCGAATCCCAATAATAAAATGGGGACTCTAAAAGAAAAATTATAGATCTTTCTGAAAACATATCACATTTTTTTCTTGGACTGAACTCCTTTAAAAGTCACAAATGTTAGACTTGCATAAGATATTAAGAGACTAAATCGGAGAGTACAATTTTAATTCATTTATACCAGAACTATGTTATTCGTGCTGTGTTAAATTATATTCACCATATATTTTCTGTAAATGACAACTGCGCCCAGTATGCAAAACTATTTTGCCATTTGAACTTTTGCATTATGGGTAGTTTCCATGTCTGCTTACCAAACAGTTTTGGAATTTATGTAAATTCGCTCACATAACAGACCATTGAATTATAAATATTTACAACAGTTGCCCATAAATTTAATCAACTCAGAGGCATTAGAGTAATAGATTATAGAAATAGAGAAAGAGTACCAAATGTGATTTGTTTAAGGGAAAAAAAGAGGATGAAGGGAATCGGGTGTATGTTTAAAAATGGTGCACAGTGCAAATAAGAGATAGGAGCCAATTTTGGCGAGTCAAATTCGCTAATTGAAAGTGCAGCTTGCAGGGCCCAAATGGCAAGTACTCAAGGCCCCAGTTTGAACAGACTGGCAAGCAATGCGAGTGAGTGGCGGCAACGTGATGGGTATGATGCCAAAGTCTGTGGTGGATGTGAGGATGATAGAGTCAGTCAAGTTTCGTAATCAATTTAGAAAATTAATCCGGCTGGGTAGAGTACGTCAGGACCACTATACATACTAGTATGTGCGATGCCAGCGAGAATTTCTATTTGACAGCCAAAAGGGCGTAGCTTCCCCAGTTTCTCTATAGCTAATTGGAAAACAAGTGCCAAAGTTTATTAAACTACCCAAAAAAGAATGAAAACAAACGTGAAAAAAAGAAAACTTGATGTGAAAACAATTTCAACCGAAGGGAGGAACAAAATTAAATTTTTTAAAATGGGACTGAAACTGACACATACAATTTCTTGGTAACATCAGCCGATACAAGAATTAGCGCTAAAACCGGAAATGGGTTGAACTTGCCGAAAAATAACTGAAATCGCGTATCGTAATCATTTTATAGTTAATTTATTTAATTTTTGCAGTTAAATTTAAGATATTTTTACCAAAGCTAACAGTAGGTTCATATACCACAAGTATTAAGTAACTATCAGAAAGTGTAGAACCAATTTTGAACTATAAATGTACAAGATGGAAAAAACAAAAAGTTGTAATCTAAATATTAAATTAAACAAACAACCAAAACAATTTTTAAATCAGTTTAAACGCCAGTAAATAAATGATTTCACCATTTTTTTACCAATGAATTTTTGTTGTTATTATTTGTCTTGGAAATCTTTGAAAAATCAATCAAACATAACATTATACTTAGCGGAGGTGTTGTCAAAAACATTGCTACCGCCAAAACGCATGGCAGAACCGGAAAAGGGGCATGTCACCGATGAGAGGCGTTGGCAAGGCCGCCCCGATCCCAATCGCAATGCACCCAGAACCCGGATCCGTCGAGAGCAGTCACACCCACCACAATCACATCATAACCGCGAGAAAAGCCAGCGATGTCTTCGTCGTCCCATCAAATCAGAGCGTTCTTCGAATGTGCCGCAACCTCTGACGGATACTATAGTGGCGGGTAAGTACCGCCTGCTGAATCGCATTGGAAACGGTTCCTTCGGGGAACTGTACCGCGCCGAAGGCCTCAAATACGGCGAGCAGGTGGCCATAAAGCTGGAGCGCGCTTCTGTTAAATATCCTATGCTGCCCCGCGAGGCCAAGATCTATGGAATCTTGCGGGGCGGGGCGGGAATCCCCCACGTGCGGCACTACGCAACCGAGGGAGTGCATAATGTGATGGTGATGGACCTGCTGGGTCCCACCCTGGAAGATCTCCTGAACTTCTGCTCGCGCACCTTCAGCATGAAGACCACTCTGATGCTGGCCGACCAGATCCTGAGCCGCGTGGAGTACCTGCACCGCAAGTGTTTCATCCACCGCGACATCAAGCCGGAGAATTTCCTGATGGGCCTGGGCCGCCATCGCACCCAGGTCTTCATGATCGACTTCGGGCTGGCCAAGAAGTTCTACAGCCTGCACTCGCAGCAGCACATCGGCTACAGGGAGAACCGGGATCTGGTGGGCACGGCCCGATATGCCAGTGCGCGGGCCCATTACGCGGAGCAGGGACGTCGAGATGACCTGGAGTCCGTGGGCTACCTGCTGCTCTACTTTCAGCGCGGTCGTCTCCCATGGCAGGGAATCCGGGCTCAGTCGCAGGTCCAGAAGTACGAGAGGATAGCCGAGTCCAAGGCGAATCTGCCACTTCAAACTCTTTGCTCGGGCATGCCCATCGAGTTCTACCTGTACTTGAAGTACTGCCGAAACCTGCCCTTCTACCAAAAGCCGGACTATGTGTATCTGCATCAGCTGTTCAAGGTGCTCTTCCGAAACCAGATGATGTTGTATGATTTCCAGTACGACTGGGTGACTCTGCAGCGGGAATCGAAGGCTCTGTGCGACAAGCAAAAGGATGAAAAGGTGAGAGAAAAGCAAACGAATGGGGACAGGGATCGAACTCGTCATGGGAATGAGTATCGAACTGAGAACAAGGATGTGGAACAGGCTCGGAGTTCAGACAGAAATCGAAATACAAACAGGGATAATGGACTGGAGCAAACTGTAAAATCAAATAAGAACCGGGATCGAAATAAAGACCGAGGGAAAGGACGTCATGAAGAGGATAAACCCCCAAAGAAGGAACGCAAGGCCTGCTCCTGCAGTTATCACCGGCACAAGAAGCACCATCGAGATCGCCAACTGGAGCGGCAAGCCGAGCGAAGGCGGCCTCATCCGGAGCAGCCGGAGGAGTTCCACCGGGTGCCGCCCTGCCTTTGATATTATTCACCGTTGCATATGTTTCTGCGTCTTGTTAATTAACTGCCGAGCAACTATATTTAGCGTGACGTACCCATTAACCCCTCTCAGATCCTTTGTTCGTCAAATCAATGGCTCGGATAATTGGCAAGTTCTGCCTGAGCACAGAGAAGCCAACTGGCAACTTCGCAAACAATGGGGCGAAACTTTGTGGGGCGTCCTGTACAGAGAAATCGATACCCTGGCATCTCTCAGATCATGAAACATTTTCAAACGTTGCAATATACAGACAACAAATTATGTGAGATTAAAAAGTTTTTTTTAAATACATATTTTAACTAAGGGCCCAATAATAAACAACACAAAATGAATTGTAAATTTGTTCTCACAACTAGTGGTGGAAATAGTTTGTTAAATAGAACAATATTTTTATATATTTTAAAGTTATAATAGATGTTGTAACAGAGAAATCGATATCCTAGCATCTCACAGATCAGGGAACATTTGCAGACTTTGCTAACAACAATATTCAGACAAACAAATTATGTGAGATTAAAAAGTTTTTTTTAAATACATATTTTAACTAAAGGTCCCAATAATAAATCCGTAAAATGAGTTATAAATTTCTTCTCACAATTGGTGGTGCTAAAAGTTTGATAAATTAGAACAAATTCCCAATCGGGAAATAAAACATTATTTTAATATATATTTTAAAGTTTTAATAGATGTTGTAATAGTATCAAATTACACACATCCCAAAAACCCTACTACTTTTTCTTCAAAAGCTGTTTCTTTTTACGATGACGGTAGTGAAAGAAGACAAGAAGTTTTCTGGGTAAGTGTAACAAGCACACATAGTAAGCCAGCTGATATGAGCCTTTTGTAGCAAGGATATTAATAAAGGGGTTAATTATTGGCCCAGCCAGGATGCGTTGCGAGATCCCCAACATGACTTGAGAAAGTGAGGCGGAGGCGGGCGAAAGCTGAGACCGGAGAGCAAATAAAAGATTACCCCAGTGGCTTGGAATGAAATAAGGTCGACGCAGCCGAGGAAAAGTAGTTTGCCCAGTCGGGCTGCAATAATGTGGACAAGGCACACGGACCAACACACACCCACACACACCAGCGCACACCAGCGCACTCCATAAGCAAACCCAAATGGCGAATTAACTATTTGCAGACCCAACGCGATTTCTGCCCATAGCCCCAAATCCTGCGGCAATGATGATTTCGGGTTGGGCGTGAGGGTGCATTAATCTATAAATAACTTGCCGTAGCTCGTATCACACATAGAGAAAATCTGGACCGAACCGGTAGTCAAGAGTTTTACATTTTTACATATTGTTAAAACTAACAAAAATAAATTTGATTCGTAAAATAAACATTTGTATTTTAGTATAGATCTAAAAACTACATGATCTTAAACGTGAATTTCTTGTTTTTGAGAATGGTTTCAAAATAGGTTTCATTTGTCTCGCCACAAAGTGTACCAACATTTTTTCAACCATATCACTCTAATAAAATTAAATCAAATATTTAAATAAGAACAGAAAAACATTTAAATAATTTTTTAGTACATGATATCATTTTTTTGGTAGTGGTAAAGCTGGTTTTTTTTACTTTCAGCCGACTATAAGTTGAATTTCAGTCATTTGAAAAACTAAATCAGCCTTTTATAATAATATGATTTTCTAAGAATGTTCCATTATCCCCGCATACGAAAGATTTCCCGTGTACACGGCTCAGACGACGCCACGCCCATTTAACATCCCAAGTTTTGCGTTCCCAGCAGAGTCTGGGGACTTGGGTCTTCCACCCAAAATACTCTGGGCAACTTTCCTAAGAACTTGAATGCATGCCAAATGTCGGAAACCTCACACCTCGAAAAGAGTACACACACACACACACACACACTCGTGGCAACCAAATCCACACTAATACGCGTTTTCATACACGTACAGTACGCGCTGAAGCGTAAAAATATTTGCGGGCTTTTGGCTTCGGCTTCTCTTTTTCTCTTGGACCGCCGCATTTCAAATTAAGTTAATTTTTTTCCGCTGAGCAAAATGGCTACAAATCTGTGTTTTATTTATAAGTGCCACTGGCCGAGTGGGCAGACACATTATGGATGGCACCGAACTCGGACCGGGTTCTATGATGGGTCCTCGATGAACTTCAGTGACATTCAAATTGGGCAGTTAACGAAAATTGTGCAATTTGTGGGTCAATGGCAAGTGGCGATAGGAATCCGAATATCAAGTGGATGAGGATATGTGAGTGGCTCCGATGGGACCGTCGTACTTATGTATATTTGAGTGCCCTAATATAGAATAACTTGAGACGGCAACGTTGCGTATAAGCAATTTTGTGACTGTCGCAGGGAGCATTATGTTGGTGTTGTTTGTTTTATTCGTGTGGGTAAGTGGATGCTTTTATTGAGAATCTATTTAATATATAGCTTAAAAAATTATTTTATTTTCATTTTTTTATTATGTTTAAAAAAGGTTTAAAAGGCATGTGGATTTTTCAATACATTTTCTCTATCTTCTCCATGGCAGCTGTTATTAATAGTCGATCAATTTTTATAAAACTCAGCCAGTATTAAACTGTGCACCATAAGAATTCTCTAAAAGCTTCTTAAATCTGCAGAAGCTGTTTCAGAGATATTTCAATTGTCCCCAATGAACATGTTTTCTTTGGATGTTTCACTTTGATTAAATTACGTTTAGCAATTAACTTGAAGGAACCCCGCTTATTTAATTTGCCTCAAACGATGGCCATTAATAACAATTATAATTTAATCAGCGTTTCAAACAACTAGCATCACATTCCCGTTTGAAATCATTTTGCCTTGTGGCCAAAAATAGATTTAACGGGAAAGTAATTAAAAATATTGCATGTGTGGCAAATATTAATTATGCAAAGGAGTAATTAAAACGTATGGCTTTGTTAAAGAGTTTTCATTACAAATTTAGAAATATGCGCAGTAAGCTGTCGTTTATCGCCACTTTAGTTCGGGTTGCCGAAGTTTGCTTCCTTTTAGTTTTAAATAAACCATAAGAACATGCGATTCCAAGTTTATATACCGTAGCCGTACTCTGAACACTAAAAAATAATATCTCCCATGAAGTCTGATACCTGTAATCGAAATAATAATGCGTTTCACACCAACTAATTATATATAATCGTGTCGGCTTGGCTGTGTAAAAATTAAGACCTTAGGAACAACAAATATATAACATAATTTTAACTTTAATCGAATAATTCTATTAAAGTAACATTTTCTTGAATGTAAAAGTATCAATTTTTGTTACTACAAATCAGTGTTTCAGCCCTTTAGTTAGCAGTTTAAAACTGAATTTAAATCTACCACCTAATGTATCTACAACACCCCTATAATTTGCCTTTTGCAGCAGAAGGTGGTTCATGTGGTCATAAATTATTCAATTGAAAATATGTTAAAAATTCACAGTAAATTATTTACGCCAGAGTCCCTGTACACGGATAATTAACTCGAACGGGAGTGTGCACCATATACGGGCGTGCACTCGTTGGGACCCACTGATATCCTCTGAGGGGTCTCGGGCCCCATAAATTTAGCCATAAATTTGCCTTCGCTCACAAACAGGCACAAATACAGAAATCACGGACACACACGAGCACTCAAACTCACGCACTCTCAGTTGGCAAGTTTCATTGCATAACTTTTGTGCGACTTTGTGGCTGTGTTTCCCAGGGCACACTGGGTTATTTTCTTTATTAACGGGGTTAATGAAAAATGTTGGTACAACGTTATTTAAAAAACAGTAAAAATTACATTTTTGCTGAAACAAAAATTCAAATGGCTAATCGCAAGCTTTGTTTAATCTGTTAAATATAATATATAAAGGCAAAAAGTGAAAAAACAAATTTAATCAAAAGCAACTTATTAACAAATTAGTATTCTTTTAACAAAAATGTATTTAAATTTAAATTAAATTTTTTAGAAACATTTAAATATATCCTGCTATCGGGTTCTAATGTCTAATTTTTGAAAACCTCCATCTGCTGAAAGATTTGTCATAGCCAAGGATTTCCCAAAAAGTTCGATGTGATTTAAAACCAAGCAACCTTGTTCAGCAGTCACCACTGTGGTAACAAAAGAGCTGCTCCTTGGTCAGCAGCAGATGTTAGGGGAGCTTCTGTGCTGCAAATCAGTCAACATGGCAAATGATTATCCATGCCAAGGGGCAAGTCGTGTCGATAAGCAGACGACAGGGCACGGACACATGTGGCGTATGATTAATGCGTCCGCTACGCGCTTAATGCTCTTAAATACGCATAAATGATTGCAATTGCACTCATCCTGTTAATGCTGCTAAAATCGCATTACGTGCAATCGAGATCAACCGACCAACTGCTTTCAGTTTGATTGGGGTCAAGGCAGTGGTCGACCCAGTTATTTGATTAAGTGCATAAGATTGTGTGGCGCAACGACAAATCATGATTTGTGCTTGACTTTCTAGAACCCAAAAAAATCACATACGATTTTATAAATTATATGAAAGCTTTTTAAAAGCATTATCCTTTAGGGAAAATTGCCACATCAGCAAGCTCAAACCCAAAATGTGGTTTATATTAGCATTATACAAGCAATTTTAACATAGATCCACTAAAGCCGTTGACTGTTTGTCATCTGCTAAAAAGCCTATTGTTGAGCATCTCAATAGAACACAAAAATATATGCCCACGCCTTCAAAGTAGGAAAAATATTTTTTTCAGGCCACTAAAGCGTTCGTTCTTGTTAAACATTTTATTCTTTAATATCCTTTTGATAAATTTTGATCTTTTCTGCCGTAATAGTGCATCTTGTAGTTTTCTAAACTATGGCATATACATTTACTTACCGAATTACATCAGTCACTAGAACCTCAACCAAACTCAATTTGGTGGGTATACAGCATTTTGGCTTTGTGTGGACTTAACTTATTAGCTAATTAGGTAAATATTTGCGGTCTAATCACACAGTTAATATTCACTCCTAAATCATCACTCAGTCACTCGGTATCAAGTGGCTTAAAATACACAGGCGAACTTCCATTTGATTCGCTCAAGCGTCTTTGATTGATGCGCTAATTGAACATTTAGTCGCAAAGGCAAAGCAAATATTGATTTTATTGACACATCTATCAGGCTCATCGGCTGACAACAACTGCAACAACTACAATAACGCGGGGCAAAAGTTTGTGTAAAGTTTCCATGTTGTTGTTAAGCTTGTTTCGTTTTATTTATTTATTTTACTCAGTAGCAGCGCACTTTTTCCTCTTTGACAAAGGGAGAGTGGCCGGGAATGTCGCGAGCTTAGTCCATGCCGCGTCCTCCCACGAAATTGCCCCAATATGCGTCCATTTGTGTGTGTGTGTGTGTGTGTTTGCCAAAGCGCTTGGCCATTAAACCAATTTTCAGGCAAACAAAAAGTTGGTAAAAGGAAAAGCGGACAAAAAGGCAAGAAACGGTGAAAGCGAAAACGGAATTTTTTGTTAACGCGGATGAAAAGGGTATCGGGGTACAGTTACAATCGGAAAAGACTTAAGCCACTATAAAAATTAGTGTTTTATAAATGTTACACTACTTGCAAAATCACAATTTGAAAATAAATTTATTGGAGATAATTGATTATTGAATTCAATATTCAATTTTTCAATATGATTTATTTTGCATGTCTTTTGCATATTTTGACAAAATCATCTTTATTAAATGAGTAGATTAGTCAAACACATTGCATTATTATTATTAATCATAATTTTTTTATTGTTTTCCACATAAAACACAAATTTCGTCAAACCGTTGGCTTGAGACCGTGTTCCAATTTTTTTAATAAAATGAAGCCTGATTATTAATAGTTGATTCTCAAGAGGGATGTATAAATAAAATTATAAATAAAACAAATAAAAATATTGATGGATATGTACAAGGGTAACCAAAGGTCCACTTATATTATTTTGCTTTACCGTTGGGTAGGTTAATTTTTAAATTCAGCAAAAAAAAAACACTTTGTTTTGTTCTTATAGGGCTTCTTTTTCTACTCAAAAGGATGACCCTTTTTAATTGCTCAAACATTTAGGCTGTTTTACTTCTTTTTCTACTAGAAGGCCCCAACCAATCAAAATAAAATTAGTTAGGTTCGAAGAGGAAAGAGTAATCGAATGGCAGGTGTGAGTGGAGGGCGAAGGACCCTGTCATTTCCTTAAGCGGCTTTCGGGCCTTTGTCCTGATAATTGCCTTTGATTGCCAGCCCAACGATATCTTGGACAATTAATTCTCGTTCGATATTCACTTTGTGCTCCCATTTCTGCGCTGTATCTTAATTAAAAATTTTCAGAATTTTCTGGAAATAAAAGTTATAACAACAGGTGTTATAGGTTACAAAAGCTTGTATTTTTGATTCTAGGAGGACTTAAATTAAGAACCCTCTTTAGCTAGGCATTGTAAAAGATTCTAGGACATTTTCTCGTGCTAATAGTAAGCTAAGAACGATTTTTTTCCCAACTTTCAGATTATATTCAAGACGAGAAATCTTTGTTTAAAATAAGAAACAACATAAACAAATTAAAAAAAACAGCTATTTATAAACTTATGGCAGAAGCTTTACATTTACTTCAAAATTAAAAACATTTACAACATTTTGACGCGTTATCCTTCCGCAATCAACTTATTTTTTAATAAAAGCGAAATAACAGGCAATCTTCTTTGCTTTTATTTTTCATTACTGAATTAATCAGCGATACATTATTTATTATAAGTAAATTTTAACGAATTTGTCAGTAGAGTATTTTCTTGCAGAAGGAACGACCATTTTCTAAGATTAAACAACTGAAAGACTGTATCTACTTGCAAAATCCCCGTAATGAGCTTGACAAAAAAACTCGGGTCAATTGCATTGAAATTGAACGCATTGAATCGGCTTAAAACGTTTTAACATCCAAAGCTTCTAAGAGGCTTTGGTTTAGCATACAATGGACCTTGGATAACAATTGTTTCACTCAATTCAGATGAGTTTTGAATGCCTGAAGCTTTGCATCTGAAGTAGATTTATTCAGGACTCTGTAGTACCATTTCACCTAATAGGCTGCAAAAAGTTTCAAGACAGCCGTTTTTCTCTTATTTTAACGCACTTCCATTCGGGCCACTCTCCATTTGGCAATGTACTTTTTGGCCTGGCTTACTTTCGGCTATTCCCCAAAATTGCCTGCCTCTTAGGGAATTAATAACACTAAAAGCTTCACCTGGCTTTGGCAAGCAAGTGCGACAGTATAATTTCAAATGCAAATACAAACGGAGGCACGGTTGCAAAGGATGCGGCTTGAAAGAGTTCTGCAGGCGGCTGACTCAGCCATTTGGCATGTCTATATTCATTTTCAAACTGCTGCACAATGCGAGAGACAAAGGACTCTGGCAAAGACTGTAATTTACGAGACGACAACAATTACAGAAATAAACACGCCTCAGACAGTCGCTCCTGAAGGGCCTCAAAGGATGTTGGGGGATCATGAATTAGGGTATGACTTCGTTGGAAAATTCTTTAATGCTAGGCTCGCAGTTTGAGTTGCAATAAGAAAGACTCTGCAAACAGATCAGTTGCAAAACTAACTGTATATACTATGATGTTTTAAAGGCAATTATTTGATTATAGCCGCATAAATGTTTTTACCAAACAATTTTGGTCGACTTCTCTGACAATAAAGCAGCAACGGCACACTTGGGATTCCCTGGGCATAAGCAAAATGATAAATGCACTTGGATTTAGGTACATCCCAATACTCCAGCCCACAGCCCACACCTCTTTAGTTAAAAAGTCTTTGGCCAAATTGTTATTGCATCTACAGTCGCATGTGTGTGGGCTTCGTGTTTGAATTGTTTATCAAGAAGGCAAACTCAGAGCGTGTTTTTATTATATTTCATTCTCCTCGATGCGATTGCATCAGGAGGTTGTACAACTTTTGCTTGGAAAGTGCAGAAAACGAAACGAAACATTCGCAAATAAGTTTCTAGTTTAGTTGGACAAGTTTCTTCTTTCTGGAAAACTTTTTGGTGTCCTGCAGCGTCGACAGGCTCCTGAATAGTTTCCAAGAAGAAAATGTATAAATGCAGCCGAGGGTGGATAAGATGGTTGGAGGCAAGCTCAGAGCAGTTAAGCATTTAGTGCCATAATGAGATTAAAACGGAATGGAGCAGAACTTAAATTTAATTGCATCAAACTCATTGTTTTAGGAGCGCTCTCAAAGGTGCCGCAACGTCCTCATAAAATTATTTTCTGAACTCATCATCACGTACTCGCTACTTTCTCTCTTTTTGAATAAAAATTCAAGGCACTCGCATATGATTTGCAAGCCATTGGAACTAATGAGTCTTGAACCAAAGTTGCCTGCTTGGGATTTGCCACATGACTGGATATTATTGATAGTATTTCTGAACTACACTGTGCTTAAAATAATACAAATTATGTTAAAATGAACGTTTAAATCTAAAATAAAACAATTCTTACAATAGTAAAGAAAATACCGAAAAAATTAATTTGCTGGCCACTTCAATTAAAGAATATTTTGCCCTTCAGCAAATAATAATGAGGAATTAAAGCTTTCTGACGAACTTGAGGTCGAATAAAGGCAAACCTGATTTTGAATTGGCAGCATAGCTTCTGTCAATTTGAGTTGGATTTGTGCAAAAGTTTTTGGTATTGAAATTCCTTGCAGCAATTAGAATTTCTGCCATGATTTTCATGAAATTTTCCGGCAAGGGATTCTGCATCTGGCAAGCAGTCTTACCAGCTTACCAACTTTCTATTAAATGAGGCAGAGGGAAAGTCCCACATCCGTTCCACTCACTCAATATTCCGAGCTACCCAGTACTTCGCCCACGTACCTAATTTCGGTCGTAATTTCTTATGTACTGACCCCCAAAAACTCCGTGTAAGCTGCCCAAGATTAATGACTTTTCCCCACCCGCTGACGGCAGCTGCCGGTGATGATCTGTATGTGTGTGTGTGTATATTTAATAATTAATGCATAAATAATGATTTACACAAACTGTGGTCAGCCGCTGAGCGGACCAAAAAACCCGGAAAAAAATAGTATATAGCAAGGAGAAAAGAAAAGCGCATAACGGAAAGAAAAAATTAGGAAAAAGTAACAATAACTAACCTGACTTTGCGTTTGTTGCTGTAACTGCTGCTGTTGCAGTGTTGCTGCTGGGCTGATGTTGCTGCTGTGTTGATGTTGCTGCTGCTGCTGCTGCGACTTCCGCTGCTCCTCCCACACTCTCGCTTTCTCACTCTCACAACATCAACAACAACTGGGAACAGTTAATCCATCATCATTATGATTTTCTTATTATGTTTTCCCGCTCTTAACTTTTAGTTGATGAAAACGTTTTTTTTGCTGTTTATTTTCGGCTTTGTGTTGCTGCAGCTTATTTTCATTTGCTGACTTTTTTACTCATGTTGGCAGCGACATAATAACTTTTAATTGTGTTCTATTCTTAAAAGTTGCTCGTATTATTATTTTATGTACATGTGTTTGTGGCACTTTTGAAAAGGCATTTAAAGTCCTGGCATTTCTATTGTTTTTTAATCCCGCTCGACTCGGCTGCGCAAAATTCTTGTAATTAGCTGCAGAGACAACAATAAGTACAACAACAAGTGGCCACTCCGCTTTGTTTTTATTGCCTAATGCAAATTTAATTGCGGTTTAATTTCCAACACCCCGGACAGAATGAAAATGTTCTGTACTTCCCAATGGATTTTTGTGGTAACATTTTGAGACCTTATCATGTTTCTGATGCCCCAATTTGCCACGCCCCAGCACGCACACACAAACGCCCACACGCTGTGCTAGACTACGCTCATTTGCTTCAGCATTTCCTACCACTTTCCTCTCGAAGCTGCTTCTCCTTCTGGTGGAAAACTTTCAGCTTATTTTCAGTATTGCCGTTGTTGCTTTTGGCTTTAATGAGCTTCCTACTGATTGCGGTTAAAACGCAAAAACCCTGCAGCTTCCGGCTTCAAATGGTGCTGCTGAAACTATTAGTCTCACTTGCCGCCTTCGCCAATTGGCTGCAACGGCATTATGTGAATGCATTGTAGCCAATTTGGTGATAATTTTAAAAGGTGTCGTAAATAAGGGAGCATATTAGATAGAAGCAAGTTTAGATAAGAAGATATCGGTTGCACGTGTATTAAGAAACTTTAAATACCTTTTATTGACTAGGAAATGTGTTTCTGCAATACTCACGTATTCCAAAAATAATTATACGATATTGGATAAAACTTGCATTAGTTGAAGTTCTGAATCAACTTAAATAATTGTACTCTTCTTTAATCTTTTGGTAACGAATCTTTTTATCAACGAATTTAAGGTATTGTTCTCTTTGTAATCATTGTTAACCATAAAAAGCTTAAAATATGTCAAGAATATTCATATATTAATCCTATTGTTTTTTTAACCGTACACTTTGTTGATATTTTAAAACAAGATAACATTATTGTTCTTAGCTTAATTTATGAAGTTGGTTTCGATCCTTTCTTATATTTTGCAAGTAAAGATAATTTTGTCTTAGACTATGACACAACGAAAAAGTGTACTGAAATTTGAACAATGTGAAATCTAAGTAATTTAATTTTTAATTATGTTTTTTAATTATGAAGTTTAATTTTATTACTTAAAAATTCAAGAAGCTATTCACTTTTTGGCTGTTTTTATCCAAATTATTTTATAATATTACATTTGTATATGGATATATTAAATAATCTTATCTTGATTAATGTTCTAAGCATATTTAAGTTGGACTAAAATTAGGAACTGCAATTGTTAAATGACTTGAAAACTAGCTTTAAAAACCGGTCAAATACTTGTCATCGTTATAAACCAATTTTTTGTTTAATTTTCAAAGCTTTTGCTAAGATTGACCAAATGCAAATAACCATTTTTTTTGTTTTTTAGTCTAGATTTTATTTGCATTTCTTTGTCTACATTACCCAATAAAACGAACGGCCAACCAAGTGACTTTTAATGCCTCATTGGGCATTGCCAGCTAAGTTCTTGGAAAACCATTGGCACCCAATAACAATCATTATGCCTCGACTTGGGCACAACTCAAGTGCAACAGTGCGTATGCGTTATCCAAAGTTTGAACAACAATTGTTGCCTTGGTAATTGTGGGAGAAACCCACTGCTGTTGTCGATGCCAGCTGATGGTCGAGTAGCAGCTGTTATCACATCCTAATGCTAATGCGATTTTCATCGCTGTTGCTGTATCGGCGGCATTATCCCCCGATTCCCTTTTCTCTCAAGTCAAGTATTTGAGTGCAAAGCGAAATTCATAGCATACTTATGGCAGCTGGCTGATGCTAACGATGCCTTTGGCTGTCTTCAGATGCTGAAGCTGCTGCTGCTGCTGCTGCCGATGATGATGATGGCTTATGTAACTAGTGCTGCATAAATCCGTGCACAGACACACACACACGGGCAGAGGCCCACGAAATACTTCTATATGTTCCTGGCTGCTCCTTAACTATTCAAATGACATTTCTTGTTTTTTTTTTTTCGCTTTCTCCTCAGACATTTCCATTTCCACCTCTCTGGCTGTTTGTGTGTGTATGTGGGGCAGTTGTGTCTGCAGCAGTGGTAATTCTTTTGGCTTTGGCGCACTCATGCCCCGTGACACTGCGTGCTTTTAACACTAACAAGCAGCAGCAAAAGAACTAGAACCAAAGGAGTGGACGTTTGTCGTTGTCTGACTTCAAGTGGGCGTGAAGGGGCGTGGGGGGCTTTGGAGGTGAGGGCTTTGGCGGTCCTGCGACCCAGACGAACGCACTAGCACCAACACTTACACTCGTACTCGCACTCACACTCGCGCAAGCACATCTATTTCACTTCACTACCACACACGTTCTCTTAGACTTGGCCCGGTTCGGTTGGCTTTGGCTTTGGTTTTGGCTTTTGGCAGCGACTTGGCTTGCGAATCTGCTGGCGGATGCTGCTGCTGCTGCTCTCGTTGCTGTTCATCTCCCGTCGATGGACCATTTTTGACTGGCTTCCAATCGAAGCCATTGGCTGCCTTTCGTCGCCATTCTCATTCTCATTCTCGCATGGATCCCGTAACAGTTGCTGTGGCTTTGGCTGCCTCTCCGAGTGCTGTTGCTGCTGTGCTCTGCTCTGCTCTCACTTCTTATACAAGTCGAATCTTTGCAAGAGAGAGAATCCCTTTCGGAGAGAGCAATCGAATGGGGAAAGCACTTCTCTTGTTGCATTTCACAGGCTCAGCGAGTCAAAGATAACGCACGTGAGTGACAAGAGCTGCCAGATTGTTCCAGAACTCTCGGTCCCAGCTGAAACTGTGGAACGGAAAATAATCTACAATTTCGATAAAGCTTTACATATGTATAATACTAAACCAAGTTAATTTTATTTTTTTTTTGCCAAAAGTATTAAAATTATATTTTGTATTAATATTTTGTTAGAGATTTTAACATCTTTACACATAAAAGATATTTAATTTTGTTGACGTTAGATTTGTGGTATAAAAACAGTAGAGTAGCACATATAATATTAGCTTTATTAAAAACAAAGCTTACAAGTAATAAGTTGTCGACTGCAAAGAAAAAAAAATGTAAGCCTAATTCTTAAATAATAAGAAATAAGGATTATTTGTAAAACTCTTTCGCAGGTGGAGATTAAGAAATTACAAAAGAGGTTAAAATACATTTGAGTGGAATTTCCGATTTGTTAAATTGATTATTATTAACAAACAAAAGGAATTATTAGTTTCCTTTTTTTTACAAAAAAAGTAATTTAAATATTTGCTTATACCAGGCCGTTTATATAATTTTGCATATATTGGCAACGTCAAAGAAATATTTTTATAAAATCTCTTATACATTGGGCCGTTCGTTCACTCTTTCTCTCTTTCGCCTAGCTTACTCTTCTCACGCATGCTCCTTTGCTTGCAAAACAACTTTATATTTCGGGCAGAAGGACAACAAAGGAAACCCACCAACAAACAGACACACTCGCATACTTATATAGAACACCACAAGACCAAAACTCGTTTAGTTGCCGCGTTGACAACTTTGTGGCAGGCAGCAAACAAACAAACTGTTCCTTAATGTTGGCAGGGGTGTTGTGGGATGGGCTGCAATTGCATTTCCAATGTGAGGAGGCAAATGCAGCTTCATTGCCGGGAGTCTGAACGTTGACCTGCCTAGGCAGCTGACAGATTTATACTCCCTTGCACGGGTGTGGGAGTAACGCCATTAAATGGCAAATAAATCTAAAGTTAAACTTTTGACACTGTCTAGGCAAGGAGCCACGAAGGCGTTTCCTTCCGCTTCCCTCGACTTCCGGTTGGAATCTGTCTGCCCTGTCAGCGGCCAACAAAAGGAGTGACACTCTCACATACACGCACAATTGCATGGAGAGAAATTCTTTTAGCAAACAAACACTTATACTTTTAGCTTGTCTCTGATGCTCGATTTTATAAAAGGTTTCGATTTTTTGTAACTTGATACTAAGAAGATGAACACTCGCGGTAAAATAAAATTAGTGTGGGCGGACGTCCACTTAGTGACGAAGGCCCCTATATAAAGCAGCAAAATTTAACAATTTTTTATAGAAACAAGTGACAAACCAATCAAAAGGCATCGCTTTCTTAGATAGAAACACATTATTCCAAACACTTTATTCCAAATCCATTGTTTTAGGACAAAAAGCGGTGAAATTGTAAACTTTAAAAATTGTCTGATGCCTAATTTTTGTACCCCTATAGCTCCAACTCATTTTCTATTTTTCTGTTTTCATTCGGCACGTTGCAAGAGGAACCTTTTGAATATGTAAAAAGATATGTTTAGTCGAATGCTAAATCCTATTTCGTCACAGAAAAACATATATTTCCTATAAAGAACCTATTTGCTTAATTTGTCAACTTTAACACTGTTCTCTCTGTGCAGTTATTTACACTATTTACGGATAGAATTTATGAGCGCCCAGCACCACTTCTCCTCTTTTCCGAAATCTTATAAACTCGGGCATAAATAATAATAATTTTTGCGCTTTTTGTGCCAGTCCGTTGTTGTTCGCATTTCTCACATTTCGTTGCTATTCTTATGACAATGTCAACATTTCTTTTGCTTCTCTAATGGCCTGACAAGAGCACACACAAACCACTCGCACCTATATGTATTTTCAATCGGTTGTTGTTTTCTCTTGTCGGTTATGCATAGCCATAAATTTTGGTAAAAGCTTCTCTAGGTCTGGGGCTACGGGCAGTCCGAAAATAAAGCGGATAATTTCTGATGCTGACACATTCGCACACGGGCACAACAAAGAGGAAAGGACCTTGTACACACAGTAACCATTTGTTGTTTTCGCCATTTTTTGTTTGTCATTTAACAGATTTTTCTGTCCTCGTTCGGTATTGATTTCTAATTTTTCCTTCGTAGGCTCAATAAAAAAATCCCCAATGCTTCACATGAAAATGTCGGTGTTTGTTCTTGAGTGTGCGTGAAAGCGAAATTTTATTATGTGTGCGTGTGTGTCGCATTGATTTCCTAATTTATGACCGATTTGATGGATTGCTCAAATAACTTTTTATGTTTATTTTTGAGTTTTTATTGTTTTTACAACTTGCGGTTGCTTCTGTTGTGTTTTGTGGCATGCTTTTTGGGTGTCCATCAGGAAGATCTACGTGGTCCTTTCGTGGCCTTAATGGAAAACGTTTATTTTGGCCAATTGTGGTACTTAAGGTGTGTGAGCAAAAAGTGTTGCATATATTTTTGGGCACTTTATGAGTAATAGCATTAATTAATCCCAAAATATGTAGTTTGAAATTGATATTCCAGCAAACATACATATATGCATTTTCATAAATAAGTTTATAATTACATTAAATTAGAACAAATATTATATTAATTCATTTTTGCCTTCTCTTTTTCTTTTTATACAGTGCGGAATTTTAAAAATTAAACATAATTCGGTCACTTATTTGTATTTTAATTGAAATTGAGAACGTGTCGCTGTTAATTCGAAATGTGTTTAATAATTAATGGGAAAATGCTTCGGGGTCTACGAAGTCCGCGGTTAGCTAATTGAGCCAAACGCATCTGCGTAATTAAATTTTCAGCCAGAAACACATAAAAATAAACCAGCCCCAAAGTGGGACTAAAAGGGGAAAATATCATGCGGGAACTCGGTTAGCATGAATGAGTCCAGGCCAATTTAACGTTAAATCAATATTGTTAAATCCCCGCACACAGCAAAAAACAGACCACACTGGCGAACATTCATGTATTAATTGGTGTTCGTGAGTCGCCTGCATTTAAATAATCCATGAGCTGACACATCTGTGTCTGAGTTTCCCTCTATGTACATGAGTTTTAAGCCATCTGAGCCCCGTAAACTTTGTGTTTGCTGGATACTGCGTGCCCAGCAAACTCTCAACATATTTCGCATTTACATGCCGGCACATAGTTACAAATGTGTTTCAGTAATTGTTGTCGTATCGTGTATGTGCTTGTGATCCTGGCACGTTGACTACGTTTTAATATTGCTAAAAACGTATTTAAAATAACTCGATTGCCAGTTTTGTGTAGTTTAATATTTTGTGTGTTACATTTAAGCTGCTTCATGGTGTACTTTTTTTATTGAAAAATAAACTGCCCCTGAAAAATAAACTGTCACTGTTTTCCCTGCTCCAGAAATAAAAATTTTTAAAAAAATAAATATATTAGTCTTGGTTAACAAACTTGTAGTAAGTTTTGTGCGATAAATTCAACAAATCAATCAAAACCAAAAGATTTTGTGGATTTGTTGCAAACTTTTAACTAACTTCAAACTTTATCCAATAGCCAAATTTTAGATTCAATTTATTGAAAACTAAATTTTTTCATACTTAAAAATAAAAATTGAAAGTTTAAGACACTTTGATTTAAACACATCACCCCTCGGGGCTAAATCAGTAAATAAAAGCGAAAATATTAGGATTTACCATAATTTTCCTCTAAGTGTAACAACACCCGGCTTGGAAGTTTCACCAAGCCCGCCATTTACATAGATCGGTGCAGAATGCAATACCGGAACAGGGTATCATAAATTGGCTTGAACAAATCAAGCTGAACCAAAAAAACAAGATCTGTAAAATTTGTTATTAAAAATAGGAATTTTTATGGCTGAAATCTGATTTAAATCCCTTAAAGTTAATCAATATTCTTTATATTCTTCTTTATCTTATTAGCAAGCAACGCTTTTCATTTTACAGCTTCTGTTGGCTAACTTCTGAGTATATTTTATTTGATTTTGTTTCCTGAGCCGACTAAGCCTGGGTGCTTTCGAACTGAGAACGAAAAAATAGTAAAGGAGCCACTATACATCAGGCCAAGCACACAGATTTCCACGCAAATGGGTATGTATGGTATTTTTTGGGTCAGCGATTCGGAGAAGGTTTCGTGGCAGCCCTCTCGATGTCTCGTCGGCACTTAGGGCCAACAAATACAAACAGGCATAATAAAATAATCGATGCTTTTAAAATTTGCATAAGTTCGGATACCACAGATGCTACCCAAGTGGAGTCAGAGGAGTGTATTTCCATATCCATATCGAAACCCCATTTCCCCATTGCGCATACGCCACGTGGACACGGCCAGGGCCTAAGAATGAGGCCTAGACCTGGAGACGGCGGCAGTGGCGGTCGGCAAGTTCGTGGGCGTTCGATTTAATTGTGGGAATTCGGCGACTGCCACGCACCCATCACATGGATGGACGTGGCTAAAAAGTTGAATTTTTAAGCACTTAGGCAGGCACAAGGCGGTTTGAATATCGAGGCCCGAGACCC